TGTGATTTTAGGGTCCCAGCACCCCTAAACCTCTAGACCTCATAAAGTCCATTTACAGGAGCCATGATCTTTTGGAATAGTTCTTTATTAAAGAAAAATATAAAATATATATTATTAAATATATATAAATATATATTATTAATATATATTATTAAAATATATAAATATACATTATATATAACAAATATATAAAAATATATAAAATAGTTCTTTATTAAGTAAATATTTGCATATTAAATTAAATAAATATTTATTGCTAAATAAATATTTGCCCTTAATAACAGCTATCATATATCATATAGTACTTTAAGGTTTGCAAAGCGTTTTACATATATTACCCCATTTGATCCACACCCTAGGACATATCTGCTATTATTTATTATTATCATCATCATCATTTTACAGAGAGGAAACTAAGGCTGAAGAAAGTTTTGTGGATTCATAAAATACATTTTCTGGAAGCACAGTCTAATGAAATGTGCTGAATCCACCTGTGATGGTGAAGGTGGGATTTTAGTCTGGCCTTAAAGAAAGCTAGGTCAGTAGTTGGACTGAAAGAGGGACAGCATTCCAAGCATGGCAGACAGCCAATAAGAATGCCCAGAGTCCAAGAGATGGGAGTGTATTGTTCCTGAAAGTGCCAGGAAGCCAGTGTTACTGGATCAGAGTGTAGCAGGGAGTAAGGTATAAGAAGACTAGAAAGGTAGGAGGGAGTTAGGTTATGAAGGACATTAAATGCCAAACAGCATTTTTAATTTGCTCCTGGAGGCAATAGGAAGCCACTGGAGTGTGGCTAGGATGGGGGTGGTGGGGTAACATGATCAGACCTGTGTTTTAGAAAAATCCCTTTAGTGGCTGAATGGAGGATGAATTGTAGTGGGGAGAGACTTGAGGCAGGCAGAAACATCAGCAGGATACTATAGTAGTCCATGGGTGAGGTGATGAGGACCTGCACTAGAACAGTGGCAATTGAAGAGGTCTAGGACTTTGGGGTGCTCCTGGGGGACACCCCAAGATCGCGGTACCGGGCCCTGTCTGAAAGAAATTCAACTCAAATCTTCTTCCAGCCAGAGAAAAGTTTATTAGTGATAAATCGCATAGGCCAGGTGACACTTGTCCAGAGGGCATGAGAAAAGCTTAGCCTTTAGGGCATGAGAGATTCTCAGCCCAGTAACTCCCGTGGGGATGAGCGGGCATGAGACGTTCTCAGCTTTTTGGACTTGAGATTCTCAGTGTCTGAATGGGGACCAGGGTGGAATTTTTATACACTGAAGTAACTTTGGGTGGCCAGAGACGGGGGCTGGGAAAAGGGCCTAGATGAGAATTCTGATTGGAAGGTCTGAGAGATTGAAGAGACAATGGGAATAGCTAATGGAGGGAACAGGAAGGCAGAATTTTGAAAGGCATCTGCACAGGATCAAAGGGTGGGGCTAGGACTTTCAAAGGGAGATAAGGGGAGTCAATAAGGAACTGTTTGAGACCAGAGTAAGGCCTTTCTGGGGCCCATAGACAAAAGGGAACCAGATTCTTTTAGGTCGAGGGGCAAAGGTGCATCTGAATAAGATTAAAAGGTAAGGCTAAGGCTTTCAAAGGCAGATGAAGGTCTGGGGACTGTAGACAAATGGGAGTCAGATTCCCTTTGGATCAAGGGGCTAAGATCTTGGTTTGGGCCATACCCCATCTGCAATCACAGGATAGAAGAGGATATATCTGAGAGACATTTCAGAGATGAAATGGATAGGCCTTGCCAACAGCTTGGATATGGGTAGTTCCATTTAATTAGTGCAATTATTTACTAACAAGGACATATCTCTTCTCTTTCTGTTGCAGCTAATGATATACACACATGCCCTGCTGATGCGGTTTGAGGGGTTCAGGGACCCCCTAAAGACTGAAGTACAGAACAAGGTAGTTAGGAATGAATTCATGGACTCAAGCATTCTTTAAGTCAAGTTGGCAAAGGTTAATTGTTACACTATTCATTGGGCAAAAATTCTTAAGGAACCTGCGACCTTAGAGGGGTATAATTAAAGTTTATATAGGAAAAAACTATGTTAAAACATGTGCCAAGTATGCTAATTAGATGATATAGGGCTGTATTAGGGAGTGGTTAAGGGGTGGTGGGAGGGGGGAGGGGGGAGTTGGAGAGGGACGGTGAACTGGACAGGGAGATGTGGCTTTTAGGTCTGTTCCCTCACTAAGTTAACTAGCAGTCAGGGCTGACTAAGAATTGTCCAATCTTCCACTAATCAATGTCTTGTTTGACAAGATAGATGTAGGGAGTGTATATATGTCTTAGGTCTAGGATATGTATAATGAGGAGTCCAGGATGCATATAATGAGGAAGGGAGTTTATGAGCCAGTACAAAGCCAGTTCAAACTAATAAATCCTATAGGTGCAATTTGTTACTGTACCAGGGAGGAAGATAAATGTTTTGCTGGGGCCCACTCATGAGTAATTGCTAGGCATAATGTCCTTGGATGGGGGACAAACTGCCAGGGATAGTATTTTTGAAGCTAAAGGGAAATATGGTCTTGGAATTGGGGTCTGAGTAAAAGCACCCAAGCACCCCATCACTGCCTCTATGGTTCAGTTTTCCTTCAAAAAAAAAACAGTGCAAAGATTTAATTATGCTCAAAGTTCCTTAATATATCAATCATGGAACAAATTTGTGTTTTCAAAACATGCACTATAGCAGAAAACGATTGTGTATATATATACAACCCTACTCTTTATCCTGAGCTTTAGTCCTGCATCATTTCCAAGTGAATGTCTTGTAGGCATCTCAAGCTCAAAATATTCAAACAGAATCTTTTACCCTTTCTCCCAAGGCTATCCTTCTTAACTTCCTTATTGAGCACAACTTATTCCTCTTGAGCACAACTCTAACACCATCACTGTCTTTAGTTCTGGTTACACAATGGGATGAAATACAGCACTTGTAAGTCATCGAACATTTGACAAAGGAGATTTACTTTGTTAAAACACAAAGGATACATAACAAGAATATAGTGGCAATTAGCTTCTTTCTCAGTGACACCTAGGTCGAAGGGAAGCCCACCTTCTTGGGGACAATTATCTGGTAAATAAGTGTTGTTGACCTGGAAGTTGGTTAAAGAAACAACAAGCTAGGTGATAATTCATATTGTTTTATTCCTTATTCCCTTAAGTTAGCGCACACGTATATGGAATCAGAGCTTTAACTCTGATTGACTCAAGCAATTTTAGGAGGACATTTAAACCCTGACTCAGGATGACTGTGTTACTAAAAAAAAAAAATACAGCCTCCATGTTTTTTTAACATATAGCATAAAAAAGGAAGTTTCTTAATCATATAGATTGTAAATACAATAGAAGAACATCAAAGTATTAATCAAAATTATAGATCCAGGATATCTGTGTTTCCCCTACATAACAAATGTCCATAGGATACAAAGATAAGAAAAGTCCCACTATTCAAGAGAGTGTCTGGTCCCAGGTATCCTATCCTTATGAAGAGGTCTAGGACTTCGGGGTACTCGGCCTTGCCTGAAAGAATTCAACTCAAATCTTCCAGCCAGAGGAAAAGTTTATTAGTAATAAATCACATAGGCCAAGTGACGCCCATAAGGACGAGCGGGCATGAGAAAGTCTCAGCCTTTTGGGTATGAGAGATTCTCAGCATCTGAATGGGGACCAAGGTGGATTTTTTATACACTGAAGTAACTTTGGGTGGCCAGAGAAGGGGGCTGGGAAAAGAGTCTAGGTGAGAATTCAGACTGGAATGTCTAAGAGATTGAATAGACAATGGGAATAGATAATGAAGGAACTGAAAGGCATCTGAATGAGATCAAAAAGGTGGGGCTAGGGCTTTCAAAGGGAGATGAGGGGCTGGGGCCTGTAGACAAATGGGAGCCAGATTCCCTTTGGGTCAAGGGGTGAAGACCTCGGCTTGGGCTACATCCCATCACTTAGTGATCATAAACAGGAAGAATGCTGGTCAGTTCCATCTGGTCCTGTAGTTGCTGACATAGGAAGGGGTATTTTTAGTTCACTCAGAGAGAAAAGATTAATTCAGGTTCTTGGCCCTCATGTGGGCTCAATTGATCTTAAATGATTATCAGTGTGGAGATTGCAGTCTAAGATTGAAGCTTAAGGTAGAGATGTTAAACTTCTGGTCTGAATACTGTGAAACTTCCCAGTGAAACCAGAACAAGATTAAAATGTAATTGGGAAATGTTGAACACAATAAAGAAAAATACAAATAGATAATGTTAATGTGTGGTTTTCTAAGTCAATACCCAGTCCACAGGGATCTGTACCATTATTCTAAAGAACCCACTTAGAGGTACTGAATCCAAGTAGTTGGGACTTTTTATGCCCCTAGAAGTAGATGAAAGGGGAAACTGCATCAGGGAACCTGAGGTCAATTATGTCCCAGGGGCAATTTTGTCCTGGGCCTACTCTTTGTTGGCTGGAGGAGTGTAAAGAAGAAAGCTCCATCAAAGAAGTAGAGACCAATCAGATCCCAGAGGCAGCTCTGACTTCTTTTAGGTAAATCTTTAGGTTGTGGGTGGGAAGAAAGAGTTGTATCAGGATGTTCTTGTTGGTTCCAAGGCACCTTCCAATCAAATAGGTTCACAGACTCAGTCATCTTTTGCTCCTCATCCTTCATATGTCACTGTCTTATCTTCCATATTCAGTAGTTGCCAAGTCTTTTCAGTTTTTCCTCCATATTCTCTCCTTATCTGTTCTTTTCTATTATTGTAGGGTCTCCTTTCATATAACCTTCTCCCACCCTCAATGCATCCTACACACAGATGCCAAATTGATTTTCTTAAAACACAGGTACAGTTTTCATCCCTTTTCTCTTGCCTCTAGAACAAAATGCTAAGCCTACTGGAAGCTGGTGTGCTTGGTGACAGCCTTGATACCTTCAGATACGATATGCTTGGCCAGCTCCCTGGACAGCAGCAGGTGCACGGCCATCTGGAACTCCTAGAATATGATGGTGGAGTACTTCTTGTAATGCGACAGGTGGGAGGCCTCGCCAGCGATGATGTCTTTGGCAAATGAGTTCATGATGTCCATGGTCTTGGATGAGATGCCCATGTCAGGATAGACCTGCTTCAGCATCTTATACACTGTACACGTAGATGGAGTAGCTCCTTGTGGCTGTACTTGAGCTTTGGTCACACGTCTTTTGAAAGCCTTCTTCCAATGGGGCTGAGTAGGTGGGCTTCAGGGATTGTGCAACCCTGCAAAGTCTAAAATTTCTGGGGAAGAAAATAAAGGTCTAATCAAGTTACAGTTTGGTGTATTTAAATGAGAGATGCTGGTATATTTTGATGACTGGTTGGTTATGAAGCTTGTCCCAATGGGTGGGGCATAAGTAAAAAGCTGCTGACAATTTTTGGTTGTTAGTCAAAGGATACATACCAATCAGATACTATCACTTAAACCACCGTTCATAAAAAGGTTTTCCAAACTGTGTTTCCAGAGGTGTTTCTGAACTCTGTCCTGATGCTAAGGCCAAGGCTCATTCATTTCCATTGGCTGGGCACACAGTTTGCCTTGCAGGGGCAGCTACTCCCAGAAGGATGGAGAAAGACTGTGGCTTTTAAATGTAAGGTTTAGAATTTACTCTTATCTTAGCGAATGGATTCTTGAGCTTTTTTCATCATGGAATTCTTTGAAAATCTGGTGAAGCCTATAGACACATTCTCAAAATGCTGATTTTATATTCTTAAATTCAGAATAAAATACATAAGATTACAAAGGAAAAAATATATCGGTGATAATTTTTTTTTTAAGTTTTCATAAGAGATGACAAAGATTCCCTGGATAACCTTTCCAACACCGGTTTCACTTTCACTGATAACCTGAATTACTGGGGGAGGGGAACAGTAGGGGGAAGGAATTGGAATATTCCTTGCTTCTCCCTTGCCACTTCCAGGCCCTGCTCTACCACTGTTACTCATTCACTTCTTCTCCTCTGAAGATTATTCAATCCACATTTATCTATTAATCAATTAAGGTTTTAATAGCTTTTATCTACCAGCTTAGGTTTGGTATGTAATTAAATGTTTTGCTTTAAACTAATCTGTCCTCTGATTGGTTAGTAAAAGAAACATCATAAGGGGCTTGTGAGTAGATTCTGATCCACACCTACAACATGCTTTAAACTTGTGGTAGCCTGGAAGGAGGGTGAGGGGACACAAATGAAGGTTTTTACTAAAGGCTGCACTTCATTGCCATTATATTTTCATGGACTTGTATAATAGTGCTGATAGTAAATATGCGGGATCTTCCACATGGCTTCAGACTGGCAGAAATGGATATATGTATAATATTTATAAAAGCACTATCCCCTTACAAGCTCTCAGAACCCAATTTATATAATTTTTAAAAATTTTAAAAAACTCTTGAGTATAATATGGCAACTTTTCCCCCCCCTTTTGATAATTTTTTGAATTCTACAAATAAAGTGGAAACATGATTCAACCATATGGAGTTTTTGAAAATAAATTACATTTTCTCTTGAAGTTCCTACATTTGTATATAAGAACAATTAATCAGGCAGAATTCTAGAAGAGAGATGGAAGAAGGGAGAATAGAGAAGAAATAACTTCTTTTGTTCAGGCAGGATAAAAAGTTGGTTTTGATCTGATGGAAAGGGGAGAATACATGTCAGAGATATTCTAGTGGTAGAATTGACAGGACTTGGTACCTGATGAAATTGACTGATTTTTCCTCTCTCATCTGAGAGGACTCAGATTTTTTAGTGTAGGTTATGGGTCCTTAGCAGTAACAGGGAAGAAGGGAGAATTTGAAGGGAAAGATAATGAGTTTAATTTTGTAAATGGCTGAACGATATAGTGAAAATGTTTATTTGCATAAATTTGGAGCAAACAGCTAGAAAAGTAACTAAGTAAAAAGGATACAGCTGGTCTTGTCTTGTTTTGCTGTTAGAAGTTAAGTAGAACAAAAGGTTTCATAAAATTGAAACCACCATTAAAAGTAACTAAGTAAAATGGGATAAAGGTGGTCTTACCTTATTTTGCTGTTAGAAGGTAGTAAGTAGGACAAAGGTTAAGCTTTGCTTAGAGTGTGCATGCTTAATAGGCTTATAAATATTAGCTTCTTCACCTCCAAGAGAGCCTAAGAAACCATTTTCTGAACGTGGGATGTATGAAGAAGGAGGCAAGACATATTAAGGGGTAGATGTGTAATAAGCATACTGGAAAGTTGTACACTCCAGACTACTCAGCCAATGAGTAAACAGAGAAGGGACGTTGCAGCCAGAATTAGAAATAAATAGTGAACTCTTGCTTTGGTACAATGTGTCCTTGGTCCATAGGACCTCTCAGGTTGCAACTGTGTAATAAACTGGCCTTTTAACTTCATCCCTCCTGAGTCTGAATGAGTTATTTCTCAAAATGGTGAATTTAAGGTTTCTATGAGAAAATTAGTTCAATAGGCAGTTAGAGATTTAAGATTGGAGGTAAGAAGAGAGGTTAGGGCTGGACAAATACATCTGAAAATCACCTGCATAGAGAAAATTGATTCATTGGGAGCTGATGAGATTGCCAAGTAAAATAACATAGATGAAGATGAAAAAAAGGCCCAGGACAGAGTATTGTGTGACACCTGGGGTTATGAGGTATGGTCTGGTAAAGATCCAGCAAAGGAGATTGAGAAGGAGCTGACAGTTTGGAGAAGGAAGAGAAAGCAATGTCACAAAAACTTAGAGAGAAGAGAGTTTCAAAGGAGAGGATGATCAGTAATGGCAAAGGCTGCAGAGAGGTCAAGTAGAATGAGAGGACTGAGAAAAGGACATTAAAGTTGGTACTTGAGAGATCATTGGTAACTTTGGAGAGAGCAGTTTCAGTTAAATGATGAGGCAGGGAGTCAGACTTCAGAGAGTTAAGAAGATGAGAGGACAGGAAGGGAGGCACTAATTGTGGATGGTTGTTTCAAAGGAAAGAGAGATATAGGTTGATGGCCAGTAGGAAGTGACAGATCTGGAGTGTTTTTCTGAGAATAGGAGAGACAAAGGCATGTTTTTGGGCAACAAGGAAGCAACAGTAGGCAGGGAGAGATTGAAGATTAGTGGGTAGAGGTGGTTGTCATAGTAGTAGTTGTAGTAGTAATAGCAATTCTATACCATTATGATCACATAGTCATTAACTGTCAGGAGGAAGGCTTCAAATCTACCCTTCCCTTGACTCCAGGTCTAGTACTATTGTCACTATGCCATGATCTTTCAAGAGAAAGGAAAAAACCAAACAAACCCTAATATATAACAAAGGTTATTTTTTTCTTATGGAAAATAATATATAGTACTATATATTATATATAGTATGTTGATAGTAGCTTGACTAAGTTGGAGCTGGTCCCAAACAAAGCTGATGAGTTTTCCAAGTCTGGACATATCAAAACCAAGGTGTCTACTTTCCATGCACACTAAGAGCAAATTTCAGGCTCTCTCTGATGTAGCCCATGTATCCACAATAAATATTTATAAGTAACTACATGTAAAGAATACTCTTTTAGATCAAGTGCTTTAATTAGAATACATAAGAAATATTTACCTCCTAAAAAATCTTCAAACTCTATTTTGCTCATGTCTGTACATGATGTAAGAATTAAGTCAACAGGATCTTTTAGAATCATAGAATAATATAGAGCTGAAAGGGACCTTAAGTTTCCTTATCTATAAACTGGTGGTATTGAAGTGAAAAGAAAGTGACTTACCCAAAGTGATATAATTCATTACTGGTAGAGTTAGGACTCAAAACATTGCTTCCTTAGTAAATGCTGAGATAGACACCTTTCCCTCCCCCAGAGTTGGATAGTTGGTACCTGGCCAATTTTTTAATAGAAAGCCCAAGACGTTGTTTATTTAATCTCAGACAGGTGCAACAGAGTCCGATATTTGTTTTAGTGGATCTCATGTACACTGATATTTTCTGAATCAAAATTTGACACGTATGACCTGAAAATGTATTGTTTTCCAGACTTTTGAATGGGATAGAATTTTTCAAGATAGACACCTATAGAAAATTTCAGTGTTAGGATCCTTGAGAGTTATTGTGTGAGAACTGACCTTTGAACCCAGATCTAGGTTCAAGACATACTTTTGACTCAGTGGCTTGTGTGAACCTGAGTAAGTCACTTTTCCTTTTAGTGCTCTATACTACTAAGAATATAAATTTCAGAGAAGGTGACATGCATTGGTAAAGGGAGTTTCCTCATCTGGGAGTTACATCAGTGTAATCTGAGATCCAATCTCTACACTTAGCTGAATATTTCTCCAAGTATGGAAAGCAACAGTTTTCTTTGTTTTCTCTGCATGACTTCAGAATGTTTGAATAAGATTTGATTTTTTACTTTATGTCCCTGCATTTTTAAAAAAAGGTTTCCTTTCATATCGAAGGATCATTTTAGAACTGCAAAGGAAGTGACTTAGCAGAGGCAGAAACTGACCTCAGATCTGACTTAGAGGTGCGGAGAAAACAAGAGCTTGATGCTGAAAGAAAAGGTAATCACCAGCTGGAGCTGTAGTTACTGGGGAGGGCAGTGAAGGCAAAATCCACTGCTCTATTTCACTTAAGGCCAAACTCCTGCTTCCCATGGGTAACAACGAGCTCCAAGTCAGTGTTATTGTGAAGAACTGAGAGGTACCTTTCCAATCCCCCTCGGTTATGTGATTAGGGTCTGATTCTATAAGCACAACAGGTTTGGCCACATCTCAAAAGTTTTAGCAAGCTGAAGATCTGGTCTGAAAATCAGACCTGGACTACGGTTTAAAATGATGATGCTGTCTGTGTGTACCACAAGAGCACTTAATATTTACTTGCCTGTTTCCACAAGAGTTAAGTCTGTGACCTTCAGGAACGACTTCCAGCAAACTAAGCTGTTTATCCCTCTGCAGATTCCACGTTAATATCCCCTCCAGGGTCGCTAGATGGCGCAGTGGCTAAAGTGCTAAACCTGAAGTCATGAAGACTCAGTCTTTCAGAACTCAAATCTAGCCCCAGATGTTAGCCGTATGACAAGTGACAAGTCATTTAATGCTGTTTCCCTCACTTCCCGATCTTGATTATGCAAGATTCGACTCAATATCCCTTCTGTTTTAAGGTCCCGTTATGTCACTTAGGGAGGGCCAATGGCGAGGGCAGAAGAGGCCGGTTTCACATCAACCTTTTTGCTACTGCCTATGAGGGCTGCATGAAATCAGCTACTTACATTTGAGCAGTAATGCTGAAGGCAATGAGTGTACACAAGCTCCCTTTCGTCTAGATGTGGGGCTCTGAAAAGAGCCTTTGGGTTCTAAATGATTTCTATGGTTCTCTATAGAATTTGGCGGCTTTACTTGCCCTTGGCTTTGTGGTGACTCTCGGTCTTCTTAGGCAGCAGCACGGCCTGGATATTGGGCAGCACTCCGCCCTGGGCGATGGTGACTTTGCCCAGCAGTTTGTTGAGCTCTTCATCATTGCGGATAGCCAACTGAAGATGACGCGGAATGATACGCGTCTTCTTGTTGTCACGGGCAGCATTGCCAGCTAACTCCAAGATTTCAGCAGTGAGATATTCCAACACGGCAGCCAAATACACCGGCGCTCCAGCTCCCACCCGCTCAGAATAATTCCCTTTCCGAAGCAGACGATGCACTCTGCCAACCGGGAACTGGAGCCCGGCCCGGGAGGATCGAGTCTTAGCCTTGGCGCGAGCCTTGCCTCCCTGCTTTCCACGGCCCGACATAATCGCTGAATAGTCTGCCTAAAACGTACAGCTGCTAAAGAAGTTGAGGTCTCAGACACCAGTTTTTTCGCTTCGAAAGAGATGTACTAACCATGGCGCAGCAAGTTATTATACCTTCAGGAAGTAGAGTAAACGACGCGGTCTGATTGGTCGCAAACATCTTTTGATGAACAAACCAATTGAAAAGTAGAGCTAGAATCTCTTAATTTACATAGCCCTTCCCACTTACTTTGAATTGTTTTATTTCATCCAATTAGACATTAGACTTCCACAAACCCTTATTTGAATAGACTCAGAACCAATATGTGTGTCTAATTTTTGAAGTAGAGGGCGGGAAGAAGGCTGTCTAGAAGAATGCCCTAGAAAGGGGAGATGAATTAAATTTAGGACGTTATTTTTCCTGCGTGTTTCGAAGCTCGTGAGTCCATTGTTTTAGTCGCCCAAACTGGTCATTACCTGAACGGTTCGCGGCGGATGCTTCCCACTTGGCTGGCCCCATTACAAAGCTTTCCCATCGTGTCTGGAAAAAACCAAAAACCTTAATTGCCTATAAATGCTCTGTGTTTTGGGCTCCAAGATTGTCACTTAAAGACCGTTTCCCAGTAAACTGCATGGAACTATTCACAAAGGTTTTTTGTAAAAGCCATTCTAATTCTAAAGTAAAGCCTTAGTCTCTTAAAACAACAGCAGCAGCAGTTAGGTGATCTGTGTATTTGTGGGCAAGAAAAACTTTTACAATTCTGCTTCTCATCTGTTTTTTTTTTTAATAAAGAAAAATAGTGTAGTGTAGTAGGAAGATCTGCACTTTGTTCCTGCATCATTTAGCACAAGTCACTAATTTTGGACCTCAATTTCTCATGTAAAATAAGGGGGCTTGGTTTGCCCTAGATAGCACTCAAAGTTCCTTAGTGGTCTATGAAGCTTTTGCAGTGCCTCCTTTGACCTAAAGTCTTTTTTTTTCTTTTTTTTTTTTGGACCTAAAGTCTTTAACTGAAGGTTAGACACAGTGCTGTTAGAGTTCAGCAAGACCTCTTTTGATTATGTCCTTTTGAACATCTCAAGTTTCTGCTTTTGCTAGGTTGGTTTGTATATTTGTTTTTAAACTTTCCTATCTAAAAGGGTATTTAATTGTCTATTCTTCTATTGTCTGATAGCCTTACAAGTGGGAAATTAATAATAATGACAACAGCAATAGCTAACATTGATATTCCACATACTGTGTTGCAGGGCCTATGCTAAGTCCTTTACAATTACCTTGCTCACTCCACCCAACTACCCTGGGAGGTATTAATATCCCCATTTTATTGAGGAAGAAACTCAGGTTAAGTAACTTACTAGGGGTGACATCTGATGTTGTGTTTGAACTCTGGTCATTCTGACTCCAGGCCCTGCTATTGTGCCACCTAGCTGTTCTAAATAGCTGGGACTCTGTTGCTGGTCTGTGATTGATTTCATTATTTCTCTAAAGGCCCTGTCATTCCAAAGGGTTTCTTGGCAGAGAACATTGAGAGGGAGATGTCATGTTAGTTGTGTTCAAGTATGTTCAATGGCTGTAATATGGAAGAAGAAGTTGATTTTATCATCCCCAGACTTCATCATTTTGATTCAGTATGTCTCAAATCTGGGCTGTGGATTATTATTGAAAAATATAAATTTTATTAAATAATCTGCAGTTAAATAAAATCACAAACCCCTATTTGGTGGTTACTTTAAATCTAATATTAACTCCAGGGGGTACATGGCAGGTAGTATATGCTGAACAAGGGAAAAGAGTGAAATAAATAGTGGTACCCTGTGTTAATAGGATGAGTCATTTCATCTCCCTTTATTCATTTGTAAAATTAGAGGCTGGACTAGTGACTCCCAGGTTTCCTACCAACTCTAAATCTATGATGATTCTAAGGAAACAGTTAATAGGTGGCGAACTGATAAATCTAACAGTGTTCTACTGAATACCAAAGAAATTTTGTATTAACCTGTCTGCATTCTTCTCTAGATTACTCATGATTAAAACATTTAAAGATGGCTATCATCTACTTACCTTAGGTTGGTGCATTTGTAAAGGACTCTAACTGTATAAAACAATGTTAGCTTCATTTTGGAGCCACTAATATCAGTCTGAGGTCCAACTCCTGGTTAGAACCTCATGTGTGCTGTGGTACATTCTGAATCAGGACAAAGAGTGTCTTTGAGTAGGATGATATCTCAAAGGCATCTAATTAAATCCCCTTAATTTACAGATGAGGCCCAGAGCAGTTAAATGACTTTTAATGAATTATAGAACTTTGTAGTTAAAGGCCATCTAGTACAACCCATATCCTCCAGAACTCCCATCACAATTGCAGCAGCAGTCATCTGAACTCTGCTTGAAACCTTCAGTAAGGATGAATATACTACTTCCCAAGGCAGCAGATTCCACTTTAGGTTCATTCTAATCTTTTTGAAGTTTTTCATTGCATTAAGCCTAAATTTGCTTATTTACAACTTCTATTCATTGCTCCTAGTTCTTCCCCTGGGGAAAAATAAAATATATTCCTGGTTCCACATGACAGCCTTTCTAGCTAAGTTTACTTGAGTCTTCTCCAGGATAAACATCTCCCTTCCCTACATTTATAGCCTCATATGATATGAACTAAAGGCCCTTAACTATTCTGATTTCTTTCTTCAGGGTACACTGTAGCTTATCAGTGTCCTTACTAATCTATCTTACTCATAAGTGAACAGATGTGGTCTGACCCAAACAGAGTATACCTTCCTTAATGTAACCCAACATTAATCACTTTTTTCCTTTTCTTCTTCCTTCTCTCTCTCTCTCTCTCTCTCTCTCTCTCTCTCTCTCTCTCTCTCTCTCTTTCTCTTTCTCTCTTTCTTTCTTCTTCTCCCATATTACACAGCAGAGAGAACAGGATAAATGAGAGACGATGATATCCTGCTGATCAATGCAATGATCAATCTTCATCACTGATGATGAGAGAATGTTACCCATCTCCTGACAGAAGAGTGATGGATTAATATGCAGATATAATATAATATAATATAATACAATATAATATAAAAATAAGGCATAATATTTAAACATGGCATGTATACATATATATTTTGCTGGACTATGTTTAAAAGTTTTTGTTAATTTTTTCTTTTTTTCAGTGGGGGGAGATGAAAAGAAGAAAAACAAATGCTTGATATTTTTAAATACCATAAGTTATAGAACAATTGATAACCTGCTGTGGTGGAGACAGTAAACTCTCCTGTTGAGAATACTGTTACCCGATGAAATTAGATTTGTAAAAAAAAAAGTCGTACTACTTAGTTTGAAATTCACTAAAACTCCTGGAACTTTTTCAGATAAACTGTCGTCTTACTTGCCTCTACCATTTTGTCCTTATGAACTCAGTCTAAGTGAATCTTAATTTTACTTTATACTATTTATTACCTCTTAAAATCACCTCTTATTAGATGCTGCCTAATGGTCTGGAGGGCAGCTAGGTAGCACAGTGGATAGAGTTGCCAGGCAAGATTCAGGAAAATTCCTCTTCCTGTGATTCAAATCTGGCTTCAGAGGCTTACTAGCTGTGTAACCCTGGGCAAGTCACTTAAACCTGTTTGCCTTAGTGTCCTCACCTGTAAAATTAGCTGGAGAAGGAAATGACAAACCAATGAGGTCACAGAGAGTTGACACAACTAAACAATGTTATGGATTCTATCATTGTTGTCATAGACTGAAATATACCCTCACTATATTCTTTTTTTTCCTATTAATAAACTAAAACCAGGATTAGTCCTTGAGAATGTGAGCTATATTTCTCTTTCTTAAATTCAAAACTGATGGTTATATATACATTCTTTCCAAAGTATAATTCAGAACATTTACATACAATTTTTTATCTATCTCTTCTATAAGAATCAGAAAATATTTGCCTCAAATTATCCAAGAAACAGTTGTTAAAGGAAAGATAGATCCCCACTGAGTTAATAACTTCTGTTGAATATATAACTTTCATCACTGTGCAGAAATTATAGAAGTAAAAACCTCATTTCTGTTATTCCTAAGCACAAGTTTTGGGATTCAGAAAAATAGCCCTAAACCCTGACTGGGGTTTAAATCAAGGTTCTTATAGAGAAAAATTATGGCAGAGAGACAGAAATTTTTTTTAACATCTAATAATCTTTATGACATCTCAGATCATAAGGATCACACCGACCTAGTCAAATAGAGTCATTACCTTATGCTTCCTTCAATGTCATTAAGGTTAAACAAACTGAATTGGACTGATTTAGTAAACAAAATAAGTTACAGATTTAAACATTAGCTCTCAGGGTTTCAATTATCATCTGTAGGTTAATCATTATCAGATCTATTTATCCAACATTAACCTTTCTCTGGCTTCTAGTCTCAAGTCTCCAAATGCTTATTAGACATCTTGAACTGGATGTCCCATAGACATCTTGCACTCAACATGAACTCATTATCTTTTCCTCAAAACTATTTCTTCTTCCTGACTTCCCTATTACTGTGGAAGGCATCACCATCCTCTCAGTTACCCAGGCTCAGAAGCCAACCATTATCCTCATACTTTCTCACCCCCTATATCTAATTATTTGTCAAGTTCTGTCAATTCTTCCTTTGTACAGTCTCTAGTATATGGCTTCATCTCCTCACTATTGCAACAGCCTACTTGTTGGTTTTCTTGATGCAAGTCTTTCCCTATTCCACTCCACCTTCTACTCAGTCAAATTAATCATTAAGCACAGTCTGACCATGTTATCCTTCTCTCCTCTTCAATAAACTCCAATGGCTCCCTATTACATCCAGAAACAAATATGAAACACTTTGACTTTTATAGATCTCTTTATAACTTAGCCCCTTCCTACATTTCCTGTCATCTCATACTTGGAGGTACTTTGTGATTCATTGACACTGGCCTCCTTCCTGGTCTTTGCACACAAAACTCCATCTCCTAACCCTGTACATTTTCGCTGGTTGTCCCCACGCCTGGAACTTTCTTCTCACCTCTACTTTCTGGCATCCCTGGCTTCCTTCAGTCTCACCTAAGGTTCCACCTTCTGAAAGAAGCCCTTTCCCAATTCTTCTTAATCTTAGTGCCTTTCCTCTGAAAGACATATACATACATACATACATACATACATACATACATACATACATACACACACGTATGTACATCATTGCTTGCATTTTGTTTCCCTCATCAAACTGTGAGCTCCTTAAGAGCAAAGACTGTTCCTTCTCCCCCCCCACCTTGTATCCCCAACAATTTAGTACTGCACCTGACACATAGTAGGCAATTAATGCTTGTAGACTATAATCACAATTTTGGCTCCACCTACAGTATATTCCTGGAACGTCTCCAAAAATATATCTCATGTATAGCTTTGTCCCTTATTCCCTGTTAAAATCCTTCTATTTTTGGATACCCACAAGGAAATCATACTTATAACATAGCTTAAATATTTACTGCATGGAACAGAAAGCTAATAAAATGCAGTATCGAAATTCCACAAATGACCAAATGCCACATAGATAAAAAGATTAGTTATTTCTACAGCTGCTTAAAGATGCTGACCCTGTTGAGTCAGTATCACACCTTGGCCATTAGGCACGGAGATGAAAGGAATGTAGAATGGGTCCCCCTGCGCTCTGGAATCCCTTGCTACTTCAGATTCAATGTGGAGTCGTAATTATGGAGACATAGCTAAAGTCCCTGTTTCATTTACCCTGATAGATACGACTAGTCAAAACAGTATCTTGAGATTAAGATAACAATTAGATTCATTCTTACCTGACTTGAAATAGTATTACCTTAACATTCCCAGACAACTCACTTTCAGAGGGATAGTGCATTGTGACTGTTAAGACTCACTGACTGCCTCTTACTTCCACCAACTGTCACTTATTACTTTAGCTTTGCAGCCCAACTGCTGCTGTTTTGAATTGGTGTCTTTTGATAAGGTTTCTTGGCGGACAAAGAAAGGAGCTATTTGGGTAGTATGGTCGTGGTTAATAGCTTACTGCTCTTACAAGAACGTCTAAGGGAAAGCCAATGTAGATTTCCACTTTGAGCTTCACCACATGCAGTTAATATTACTGCCAGAAATGTTAGCATAAGGAAAAATATTACAGCTTTTTTGAGAATAAAGTAGGCGGCTCTGAAAAGAGCCTTTTAAAAGTTATGAACAGCGACCTTGGACTACAATTTAAGCCCTTTCTCCGCGGATGCGGCGAGCCAGCTGGATGTCCTTGGGCATGATGGTCACGCGCTTGGCGTGGATGGCGCACAGGTTCGTGTCCTCGAACAGCCCGACCAGATAGGCTTCGCTGGCCTCCTGCAAGGCCATCACGGCCGAGCTCTGGAAGCGCAGGTCGGTCTTGAAGTCCTGCGCGATCTCGCGCACCAGCCGCTGGAAAGGCAGCTTGCGGATCAGCAGCTCGGTCGACTTCTGGTAGCGGCGGATCTCCCGCAGCGCCACGGTGCCGGGCCGGTAGCGGTGAGGCTTCTTCACGCCGCCTGTAGCCGGCGCGCTCTTACGAGCAGCCTTCGTAGCGAGCTGCTTACGGGGCGCCTTCCCTCCAGTGGATTTCCGGGCGGTTTGCTTAGTACGAGCCATAGCAAGCACGCATCAGAGAAAAAAGTACAGAACAGTGAAAGTGGAAGTGCGCTCTGCTTTATTTATAGAGGCAAGAGCAATCTGATTGGATAATTCAACGTTGCCGGCACCAGATTGAGGTATTTGGTCAATTTAATTGGATAATTATTCTCTCCGCCCCTTTTAACCAGAACCTATTAGGAATGTCGTTATTTTTACGTTCTCCCCGCCCCCCACCTTCCGTTCTCCCCCTAGCCGGTCGTCTTGGTTGTGGAGAACTTTGTGTTTTATTCGCATGACAATTCAATATAATTAGTGTTTCCCCAGTTCCAGATTAGAAAATTGTAAGGTTTTAGGAGAACCCTTTGCAGCATGAAAAAGTCCGTGCTGGAAAATGAAAAAGGCTTATTTCTTTGTTCCTTATTAGACCGTAAGATGGCGCCCCATTGTTTGCCTTCAGATGTTGCTCTAGGACTCTTTTCCTTTAAATACGTCACCCCCAAACATGAAGAAAATCTTTCACTCCTCGGCCAATTTTCCACACCAGATTAAAATATACATACATATATACTTAATATATAATAATTGTGTTATATATAAAACTATAACATATAATAATATATAATATAATTATATGTAATTATATAGTAGGTAATACATTTTATTATATATAATTTTAATCTGGCCATGGAAAATTGGGTGAGGGGAGAAAGATTTTATTTGTGTTTTGGGGTGGTTTGCAGGAGACAAGGCAAGGAGAGACTATAGAAAAGTATTTAAATGAAAAGTCCTAGAGCAACTTCTAGATAGATATTTATCAGTCGTAAAAAGAACCTATTAATTTATCTAGTCAGTAAATGTTTGCTGACCTATATGATAATTCATGGTGTTTTTTTTTTTCTAGGCAATTGGGGTTAAGTGACTTGCCCAGGGTCAAGTGTCAAGTGGTTGGTCTGAGGCTGGATTTTAACTCGGGTCCTCCTGACTTCAGGGCCAGTGCTGTATCCACTGCGCCACCTAGCTGCCTCTGATTCATGGTATTTCTAATGCACTGCAGCTACATAAAGGAATTTTAATTGACAAATAAACTACATCTAATGGAGATGGTAACCCTACAGGAAAAACTAGAATGAAAGGTACTTGTACACAGTATACATGCGCACTACCTATAAAGTGAGTTTTAGGAGAGAAAGGAAATTCAAAAGGGAGTGTGTGGCATAAGGTTCTAGTAGTTCACTAGAAGAAACCTAACAACAACAGCAGCTGCAGGAGCAGCAGTAACATTTATATAGAGCTTGCTATAATTGTTCAAAGAAAATACGAGGGAGAGACATTTCTAGGAGCCAATATGGTGGAGTAACCAGTAAACTACTGCAACTCTACCACACTCGTCTCTAAACAAAAATAAAATAGAGCCCCGAAACAAATTCTGGAACAGCGGAACCAACAAAAAGATGGGCTGAAACAGTCTTTTAGCCCAAGAAACTTCAATGATCATCAAGAAAGGTCCATCTCTGGTGAAAGGGGAGTGAAGCCCAGGACAGGAAGCATTGCAACAAGCCAGCACCAAGTCCCACCTCAGCAAACGAGCAGAAGATCCTGAGCCCCAGTGTGGTGGAGCAGGCAAACTCCAACACCAGGACCGCCCCCCCCCCCCCAACAAACCACGTGCCTTAGCATAGCCAGGGGAACTGGCAAACTCTAGTTCCCAGAACCACCATGTGGTTCAGGGTAGCCTCAGGGGAAAAAGGAATCTCCCAGAGGCCAGACTTACACAGGCTTCAGTATAGCCACTGGGAAATGCAGAAACACCCTACCAGGACTCAGCACATACCAGAAACCACTACTAGGACCCCAGCTCAGCACTAGGTAAGCTGTCAGACCCCCTACAGCCTCCAGCATCATCAGTGAACCCCCACTCCATGTCCACCAGACAAGAAAGTCCTTGTGGGCCTCAGGGAAACATCAGTACAGCACCAGGTAAACAGCCAGAGCCTGCAGCCACTTGCACAAGGAGCCAGAAACAATGCCACTTTCACCCTGGGGAGTAGACTCAAATTTATAAGAAAGGAAAAAGGCCCCAAAACCCCAAACAAACAAAAAAAGAATGAGCAGAAAACAACAAAAAAAGAATCTGACCATTGAAAGTTATTATGGTGACAGGGAAGACAAAGACACAAACTCAGAAGAGGACAACAATGTGAAAACGCCTATTGGCAAAACCCCAAAGAAAAACAGGAAGTGGTCTCAAGCCCAGAAAGATCTTATGGAAGAGCTCAAAAAGTTGCTTAATAATCATATAAGAGAGATAGAACAAAAACTGGGAAAAGAAACAGGAATGATGCAAGAGAATTATGAAAAAAAAGTCAATAGCTTGGAAAACTGCTTAAAAAGTAGAATTGGCCAAATGGAAAAGGAGATACAAAAATCCACTGAAGAAAACAACTCCTTAAAGAGTATAATTGGCCAAATGGAAAAGAAAGTACAAAAGCTAATTGAGGAAAACAGTACCTTAAAAGTTAGAATTGGGCAAATGGAAGCTAATCACTCTATGAGACATGAATCAAACAAATACAAAAGAATGAAAAAATGGAAGAAAATGTAAAAGAGCATTGGAGTACCTGAAAGCCATAGTCAAAAGGAGGACCTGGCCAGCATCTTTCAAGAAATTTTCAAGGAAAACTGCCCTGATGTCCTGGAACCAAAGGGCAAAATAGGTATTGAAAGAATCCACTGATCATCTCAGGAAAGAGATCCTCTAATAAAAACTCCAAGGATCATTATAGCCAAATTTCAGAACTATTAGGTCAAGGAAAAAAATATTACAAGTGGCCAGGAAAAAAAAATTCAAATAATAGGGTGCCACAATCAGGATTACATAGGACTTAGCTACAATATTAAGAGATCAGAGATCATGGAACATGATATTCTGGAAGGCAAAGGAGCTAGGACTACAACCAAGAATCACCTACCTATCAAGGTATTTTTTTTCCCTATCAAGGGAAAAAATGGTCATTCAATGAGAAAGACTTCCAAGTCTTCATAAGGAGAAGACCAGAACTAAACCAAAAATTTGACCTTCAATATCAAGACCCAAGAGAAACATAAACAGGTAAGAAGGAAAAAGAAAATATAAGGGATTCAGTGGGACTAAATTGTTTACATCCCTACATGGGAAGATGATACTTGTAACTCTTAAAAATCGTATCACTAACAGTGGTTGCTGTTGTTTGTCCTTCATTCTTGAAGAGGCCCATGACATCCAGAGGGTGAAGCCATGACTTCTGAAATAATTGTATATAAGTTAAGGAGGGCTGGACAAAGTCACCAACCTCACTTTCTCCTCTGGAGCCACTTGGGTCCAAGTGGCAAGACATAGATCAGGACAACTGGAGATGACCCCAATGTAATGGGAGACCTTGGCCTTTTTCAGCTTAAGATCTTTCTGAGTTCTCGATTGGACTGAGGCAATAGAGATAGAAGGAATATACACAGACAGATAATAAGGATGTAAGGTGAATTTGAGGGAATGACAAAAAATTATTAAGGGATGAGAAAGAGGAGTACAAATGGTACAGAAGGAAGGGAAAAGTACAATGGGGCAAATTATGTTTCATGAAGAATCAAGAAAGACCTTTTACAGTGGAGGGGAAGATGAGAGGTGGGCTGTGGGCATCACTTGAACCTTACTCTCATCAGTATTGGTTCAAAGAGGGAATCATATCGAACAAATGGGAAAAGGACCCACATGTACAAAAATATTCATAGCAGCTCTTTTTGTGGTGGCAAAGAATTGGAAATTGAGAGGATGCCCATCAACTGGGGAATGGCTGAGCAAGTTGTGGTATATGAATGTAATGGAATATTATTGTGCTATAAGAAATGATGAACAGGCTGACTTCAGAAAAACCTGGAAAGACTTTTATATGGTCTGATGCTGAGTGAAGTGAGCAGAACCAAGAGGACATTGTACACAATAACAGCCACGTTATGCGATGACTAATATTGTTAAACTGAACCCGTCTCAGCATTACAAGGATCTAAAACATCTCCAGAGGACTCAGGATGGAAAATGCTGTCCACATCCAAAGAAAGAACTATGGAAGTCGAATCACTATCACTTATTTTTACCTTCTGTTGAGTTTTGCTTCATCTTTCTGATGGTTCCTCCTATTGGTTTTAATTTTTACTTACAACTTCATTAATGTGAAAATATGTTTAATGGGTATGTAAATGTAAAGCCTATATCAGATTGTGTGCCGTCTTGGGGACGGTGAGGGGGAGGAAGGGGGAGAAAAATTTTCAACTCAAAAACATATGGAAGTGATTGTTGATAAATCAAAATAAATTAATAAAATTAAAAAACAAACCAAAGAGGGAATCATATACACAGTCAGTTGAATATAGAAATATATCTTATCCAACAGGGAAGTAGGAGGAGAGGAGATAAGTAAAGGGGGTGGAGACTGACATTAGGAAGGTCGGAGCAGGGGAAGGGGTAGATACTTCAGTGGCAAAAAAACACTGGTGATGTGGGAAAAGGTGAAAGGAGAGAAAGGACAAACAGGAGGAAGAATAGGATGCAGGAAAATTCACAGGCAGTAATAATAACTGTGAATGTGAATGGGATGAATTCTGGCAGAAAACAAAAGTAGATACCAGAGTAGATTTAAAAAAAAAACAGAATACTACAATATATTGCGTACAAGAAACACACTTGAAGCAGAGAGAAACACACACAGAGTAAAGGTAAAGGACTGGAGCTATTATGCTTCAGTTGAAGTTAAAAAAACCCCCCAAAAACCCAAGGGTAGCAATCCTCATCTTAGGCAAAGTAAAAGCAAAAATAGCCCTAATTAAAAGAGATGAAGAAGGAAACTATATCTTGCTAAAAGGTACCTTAGACAACTAAGCAATCAAATCAGAACAGCAAGGAACAGCCTACCTGTCCCATAGAGGGGAGAGGGGTAATTTATGACCAAAAAAGAGATAGAGAGCACTACAAAATATAGAATAGATTATTTTGATCATATTAGATTAAAAAACTTTTGTATAAACAAAGTCAATGCAACCGAGATTAGAAGGAAAGCAGAAAGCTGGGATCTTTACAGCAAGTGTCTCTGATAAATGCCTCATCTC